TGAAACCCTGAAATCTTTTAGGAAGGGAGTGGTGAGTCTCTTCTGTATCTACTTCTTGCTGAGAAGGAGTAATGTGATCAGGGTCTCATCCTCTAGTTCTCTGTCATGATAGAAGAGGTACTGCCTTGGTGCTTTTTGCAGGTGGGGCACGGAAGTGGCAAGTGATGGCATGTAGAGGGGACTGGTATAGATCTGGGGAGTCTGTCCTTTGAAGAGCAGCATAAGATATTGTTGGATAGGGGAGCAGCTGTGCGAGCATTTGGAGTTTGATGGATCCTAGGCGGGAGGTGACAAAAAAATGTCAGTATATTCAATAAGCAGGGACTGAAAAGAAGCTTAAGTAGAATTCCTAAAAGAGGGCCTAATAAGGGCAAAAGCCAGAAGAACCAGGACCATGTCCTGTCCCAGGTTAGCCATCCCAGGGTTGCCTGTGTATTAAGTTGTTTTGCCTTGTCTAGTAAGTGTTGGATGTCTGTGTTAATTTCTCCTGATTGGTTGACCCCAAAACAACATTGTTCCTACAACATAACACATACTCCCCCTTGTGAGGCAGTAAAGATATCTAAGCCTCTTCTGTTTTGAAGAACTACTGCAGCTAGAGAGTTGATCTGCCCTTGTAATATGATAGGAAAGCCGCGATCTGCTGGTTAACCCGCTAACTCAAGGGAAAGATTTGAATAAACATCGTTGATGGAGACTGCTGTGGTGATTCTGGCTTCCCTGCCTCCTGCCATGGCCATTGCGCCAAGTATGGCAAGTATAGGAACAAGTATGGTGTTTGTGTGTGTGTGGGGTGCTTTTTTTCTTTGGGTGTGGATTTGTACAAACTGGTATAGGGATGGGTTGGTCCTTGGAGGCCAAAGTGATTTTGAGAAGTACGTAAGCAAAGGTGCATAATCCAGTCCAATTGGTAGGAAGGGAAGTATATGTGGAAGACCCACAGAAAAAGTAAATGCATCTCCTAGGGAAAGGCATCCTGATATGTGGTAGTACTCCTGAGAGGTGTGATTAACTTGATCGAGGTGTGATTACTGTGCTCTGTATATTTTCAGAAATAACTGGCAGCTAAAGATGCCTGAAGCATGGGGTGTCATTATATATTCTGTTATTAGGGCCTTCCCAGAAGATTAGCCTCCTGGTAGCATTGATTAGAGTTCTAATTGGCTAATTGGAGTAGACAACAGAACAATTATCTGTTCTGATGGTTCCACAATTGGAATTTGCAAGTAGGGCTAAATTTGAGCATTCTAACGGTCTCCCTTGATGAAAGCGAGAATGGTTGTATTGGCTCCATAAGGACATATTAAGAGGAGGGTTTAGACTGCTTATGCCTATAAGGGGATTAGAGAAAAGATCTAAGCTGTGGTTATCTAGATATATATGAACTTTGAGATTTCAGGGCAAAGGGGAACGTGACCCCACCGGTGTTCCAAAACTGAAAGGTGAAGAGCTTAAACAAAGAGGGTCCTGAGTGTTAAGTCAGACCCCTTGATATACAGCCCCTATAATTGGTTGTGAATAGTTCTGTTTGGTCCCCCTGCCCATGTAAATGTCTTGGTATCTCCCAGAATTGGTGTAGAACATGGATCCATGGGTTATTCTCCACTCTTGCATGGAAGCAGGCCAAGCCAAGGTCCCCGTGCCCTGGGCATGGGTACAAACCCAACATTCTGGGGCATATTTAGAATTAGTTAGGTTTAAAAACCTGAGAGCTGCCTGTAAAGGGGGAAGAAGAAGAGGGCAATAGAGACAGGGGGATAGACAGAGGGTGGGGATAGTAAGATACAGCAGGTACTGGATCGTCATTGGATTATTGGCTATAATTGCAGAAGAAGCAGTGGTTGATGAGGATTCCAGGTGAGGCACAAGTGAAGAGAAACACTAGAGCTAAAATGAGGTTCAAGACAAAGGTAACAAAAAGTAATTCTATGGGTATGGTCATTAGCACTTCACTGGTAATTTCTTGAGTAGTAACTTGAGGTCTTCTAGGGGCTCACAAGAATACTGTGATTCAGACAGTAGGTCTTCTCTTATATCAACCATCCATGGCTTTATCTGGGAGTGATGTATCCAGCTAGAGATCCCTGGCACCTTGACAGCTATAAGGGTAGAAATTAGTACAGTAAAGGAGCCCTTCCAAGTTGGGCTCAGTTGGGATGTGGGGCTGCCATCCTCCCAAGACTTGATGGGTTTCCTGCTACTAGGTGGGTAATATATTGATGATGGTAGGTCCTGAATGGCAGGCGAAGGCAGGGCCTTCTGCCCGTAGGCTCTAAGGGCTTCCTGGAACTGTCCTCGGGAGACTACGTATTGAAAAAGGTTCGAGTCTAACAGTATATTAGATAAGAGAAAGGGTCTCCCATATAAAGCCCCATAGGGGCTTAGTTGCAGGGATGCCTGAGGCGTAATCAAACCAGCAGTAGAGCTACCAGTAAGGGGTCAAGCCATAGCTGAGAGGTTTCTTGACAGAACTTCCTTAAGGTGGTATTTAGGGTTTGGTTTGCTCTTTCTATCTTGCTAGAGTACTGAAGTTTCCTTGAGGAATGTAATAATACCGTATTCCTAGGACTTTAACTATTTGCTGGGTAATGTGTGAGGTAAAAGATGGCCCATTATCACTCTGTAAGGATAGGGGCAGGCTGAACCTAAAAATGATTTCCTTCAGTATTTGTTTAGAAACCTCTTGGGCCTTTTCAGCTCAGGAGGGGAATGACTTGACCCACCCAGTGAAAGTATCAATACTGGTAGGTATTTAAATCCTTCGCATGGGGGCAACTGGGTAAAATCTAATTGCCAATCCTCCCCTGGTAGCTTCCCTAACTCTGGACAGGCTGTATGAGTTGGGGTGGCCTATTCCCTTGGGGGTTGTTGAAAGTACAAAGCAGACAGGCACAACATACCTGGTCAACCATGTTATATGTCCTTTACAGTAAGAACATTATGCTAAGTGAAATAAGTCAGTCGGAGAAAGACAAATACCATATGATCTCACTTACATGTGAAATCTAAAGAACTGAATAAACGAGCAAAGTAAACAGAAGTACTCTCAGAGATACAGAGGAAAAACTGATGATTGTTAGGTGGGAGGGTGTGGGGACGAGGAAGTAAGGGAGGGGATTAGAAAGCACAAGTTGGTAACTACAATATTGCCACAGGGATATGGAAGACAGTTTGGGGAATATAATCAATAATGTTGTAAAGATTTTGTAGTGTCAGATGGACACTTACTTGTCTTATTAGGGAGACCACTCCATGGACGGTGTAGTGCTTGACCTCTGCAGTGTACACCTGAAGCTGAATAATATTGTATGTCAACTATAATTATATATATATATATATATATATATATATATATATGGTCACGGGATATGGAATACAGCACAGGGAATAGTCAATGGAATTGTAGTAGATTGTAGTAGATATATACGAGGTCAGAGGGGCAATAGATTGGGGGAGGGGGGTTATCACTTTGTGAGGGGTGAAATGTCTATTACATTGTTTTGTAAAAAATCCTCCTGCAAATTTGGTGCATATTATCTCATCCAAAATGGCAAGAATCATGGAGTCCTTTAATAATTTTCCACTGGAGGGACTGGGGGAGGTGTAATTTTTTTATGTAGCTCACACCATCCCTGGGGATTAACAGTGTATCCCCTTTGAATGGCCCAGTCCCTCTCCTCTGGGGTATGAGAAGGAGGAGGAATGGGATCCAGCAGGGAAGGGATGAGGGCACCTATAAACTGTTCTTTAGAGAGGGCAGCGGTCTTGGCTGCCTGATCGGCCTGGTAATTTCCTTGGGTTATTTCTTCCTGTCCTTTTTGATGTCCTTGGAAATGGATTACTGCAACTTCCTTAGGTAGGTGTATAGCCTCCAGAAGGGATAATATCTGGTGTCTGTATTTTATGGGAGTATCCTTGGCTGTGAGAAAACCCCTTTCTTTCCAAATAATGACATGAGTGTGAAGCACTAGGAGAGCATATTTAAAGTCTGTGTAGATAGTGATCTTTTTGTTTTTCTCTAGTTGCAGGGCCCTGCTTAGGACGGTTAGTTCAGCCAATTGTGCCGAGGTCCCGGGCGGTAATGTCTTGGCCGCTATGGTTTCGAACGGGAGACTATCGAATATCCAGCATGTCTAACTCCCTCCATCAGTAAACTAAGTTTCATCTGGTTTCTCTAGAGCAGCAGTTCTCAACCTTCCTAATGCCACAATCCCTTAATACACTTCCTCATGTTGTGGTGACCCCCCAACCATAAAATTATTTTCGTTGCTACTCTATAACTGTAATTTTGCTACTGTTATGAATCATAATGTCAGTATCTTTTTGTTTTCCGATGCTCTTAGGTGACCCCTGTGAAAGGGTCGTTCAACCCCCAAAGGGGTCATGACCCACAGGTTAAGAACTGCTGCTCTAGAGGCTGGTCTTTTTAGTCTCTCCTGCTTGCATAGGTTAGATTAATGGTTTCTCCAGAGGATGTATTGGAGCATCTTCTTCTGAGCAGGGTATCAGGGTGGCAGGGTTAAGGGTGATACACCTTCGGATGGCGATGTCAGGACTTTCTAACAGTAGGACCTGATATTTTATTTTATCATTTTAAAGACTTTATTGGGGAGTTGGGGAAGGGGAACAGTGTTGGGAAATTGGGGAAGGGGAACAGCCAAGTTGTTGTCCTTTAATCTTAGTTGTGGAGCGCGCAGCTAGCTCTGCTCCAAGTCCAATCGCCCTCTGGTCACCCGTCAGTAGCTCGTGTCCACTCAGCTCAAGGTGCCCTGTTCAATCTTAGTCGTGGGTGGGCATAGCCCACCATCCCATGTGGGAGTGGACCTGGAAACCTTGTTGCTAAGAGTGCATGCTCTAACCAGCTGAGCCATCCTGCCACCTGTTGGCAGTTGAGCAGCAGCTCAGCTTGGGCACAGCTCACTGGCCCATGTGGGACTCGAACCTGCGACCCTGTTGCTCAGAGCTCGCACTCTTAACCAATCGACCCACTCAGCCGGCCCAGGACCTGATATTTTAATATCCTACTGTCTGTCATCCACTGGAGGCCCTTGAGGGCTAGTAAGGTGGCCACCTGATGGGAGGTAAGGATCTCCAAGGCCGGCCCTACGGTGATTTTAGATGCCTCTTCTGCTAGAAGGGTGGTGGCCACTATGGCCCTTAGGCAACCTGGCCAATCTTGTGTCACTGATCTAGTCTCTTAGATAAGTATCCAACCGGGTGTTGAGTGGGACCCAATTCTGGGGTTTAGCACCTGAGGGCTACACTTTGTTTTTCAGTAACATACAGCCACTATGGGTTTCGTGGGTGAAGCAGTTCTAAGGCCAGGGCCTAAGCCAACATCTTTAACTGCCCAAAGAATTCCTGTTGTTCTGGCCCCAGGCAAAGGAAAACTTGCTACCCACTCTCTTTGAGAGCTTCGCATAGTGGTTGAACCCTGAGCCCATAACCTATTAGCCAGAGCTTGCAGTACCCCCAAAGTACAAGGAATGTTCTAAGCTGTCTCTTTGTTGTGGGAGAGGCAGCTGGTTAATTGCCCTGACCCTATCAGGAGACAATCTTCATTCTCCCGGGGTAAGGATTAGTCCTAGGTGTTGGACCTGTTGGCTCACTAACTGCGCCTTTGGTCTGGATACCTTGTATCCTTGTTCGGCTAGAAAATTTAAGGTTTTTGTAATGTGCCATTGTTCTAATTTTTGGGTTGGGGAGTGTCATTGTCAGGGGACTATGGGGGAGCTTTCGGTGGTGAGATGCCCCGGGAAAGAAAAGCACATGGAGCCAGCATGAGGAGGAACCTGGATCTTTAATCAGCAATAGCAACCATTATATAGAGATCTTGGGGGAGGAGGGTGCACGGAAGTGTGCATGCTCCCTCCCACAACTGTGAATCATGTTTATGTAGAGCTTATGAAACCGGAGCCCGGCGCCTGCGCAGCAGGCTCCAGAGTCAAGGTTTGCATATCTGGGGGCAGGGTCTGTGCGTCAGCCACCACTGCTTGAGTGGGCCTGAAACTCATCCAGGGTCAGGGTCCGTGCGTCAGCTGGCACCCATCTGAACAGCCCGGGTCTAGTGCCCAGGGCCGCTGCTTGTGTGGGCCCGAGCCTTGTCTGGGGTCAGGGTCCATATGTCACTCTGCACACAGTTGGACAGCCCGGGCCCTGTCAGTCCACCCCCTGCAGGGTGGCGGTTCAAGACTTTATCCAAAGAGCATGTTCCTGTGCACAAAGGCCACAATAACAATACATAGAGCAACAGAAGCAATACTTGCCAAGATAAGGCCTGCCCATCGCCATGAAGAGCCAAGGGAGTTCCACCAATGCGAAACGGGGTCGTCCTGCCGGGCCTGGATCACCTAAACCTTGATGTCTATCTCTTGCAAGGCCTCCTGTACATTTTGTTGGTGGTCCGGGATGTAAACACAGCATTTAACGTGCAAGAGGGCACGTGTCCCCCCTTGCGCAGCAGTTAACAAGTCTAGGGCCATTCTGTTCTGTAAAACCACCTTTCTGATTTGGGTTGTTTCGTCAAGGAGCAGGGCTAAAGAGGCTCGTGTGATGTTCAGGGTGTTGGCGACGTGTTGGGCAAGGGCTTCCACCTGTAGCTCTACGTGTATCACTCCACCCCCTGGTAATAAGATGGCTAAGGGGTAAAACCACTAGGCCAGCCACTTTTCCTGATGCCAACGATGGTAAACTGGGTCCCAACTGGCCGGCCTCTGGGACAACATGGGCAGGACGTGACCATGAATAAAGGGGCGCCCCCAAGTGCAACGACCCATCCATTGGGCCGGCAAATATGGCCAGCCATGGCAACCACAAACCCAAATAGATCACCTGGCAGGAAATCAGTGGGTTCTGTTCCCACTATACAGTGGCCATCCCACCAGCGAGTAGGGTCCGTTACAACAGTAACATTGAGGCAGAGCTCCTCGGGTAACCAGCCCACCTTATGGTTGGGAACCGAGGGGAATTGTTCGATACACAGAGGAGCACAATTAGACAATGTCACATGAGTCCCCACCAACCACCCCCAGCCAATGTCCACAGCCTTGCCGAGGAGACAGGGGTTGTTGTGGTGTTGCTTCCGCAAGAGGGCTTCGACAGCGCGGCGGCAAACATTCCCCTCCGGACTGTTCCGGTCCCAGCACTGGAGGTCTGTCCAGTTGGTACTGGTGGCAGGGGTGACTTGCCAGGGCAGTCCTTCAGCAGTATCTGCTGGCAGCTCTGTGCACACCCAGCAGTGCAAGGCGTTATGCACCTGGGCAAAGGTGTGCACCCAGGATATAACGCTGTTTCCTGTAGCTAACCTTGGCGATATGACAGAGCAGATAAAGAGACCATCATGGGTAAGTCACAGCCTTCTGGAAAAATACACACTATGTGCTCATCCTGCAATAGCACTGTAGCTGGTATGGGGGCAGCTCCTGGTTGGTGGTACACACCTGGGTTCCGTGGGTTGTCAGTAAGGGGCCAAGGGTTCGGTCCACTGAATACAGGGGTATGCACCAAAGGCGTAGCATGGGGGTACCTCATAAGAAAGACCCGCTTGCATTGGCCGGTAAAGTCACTTGTACTGTGAAGGGCCAGTGTCCAAGCCAGGGCGTAACCTCCAGGCCTGTCTCTAGACCCTGTTCCCAGGGCTCATGTAGGGCGACCCAGGGTTCTTGGGTGACCTGAGCCTGCCAAGGCCAGTTCCATTCCTGCGTCCGACCAGGGGCCACTGTGGATGGAACAGGTAGGATTACCATCCCCCCTGTAGCCTGGGCTGTAACTCCGGGTCCCCGGTCCCCATGACCCGTAGGAGTCGCGCAAGTCCCTCGGTTACCTTATCCAATGGGGCCTTACCAGTCTTCTGTGGCTGCTCGTTCAATAGGTGAACAGCTACTGTTACCTGGTTTTTCCAGTGTTTCCACCTGGGGGCCAATACCCTTAACTTGTCCTTCAACAACCCGTTAAAGTGTTCAACCATACCGGCAGTATGGGGTTGGTAAGGAACGTGTAGTCACCATTCGACATCATTGTCCTTCGCCCAGGTTTGAACCTGTGAACTTGTAAAGTGGGTGCCTCAATCTCCACCAATAAGCAAGGGCCGGCCACAGGCAGCCGACAAGTGCTCCAAGGCTAGGAGCGTGTGTCGTTGGTCCGCCTGGGCCATAGGGTAAGCAAAGCCAAGTCCGGTGGGAGTGTCTACTGCTGTCAGGGCATAAAGGGCTCCCTGGTCTGTAGGGAGTGGCCCAATATAGTCCACCCGCCATTTTTGCAGGGGCTGCGCCTTCCGAGGTACAGACCCCATGGAGGTGAGCAGACATTGTCTCTGGGGGCAGTGCTCTGCACACCAAGGGCATTGACGGACAGCTTGCTGGGCCTCAGCTCTCGTCAGCTGTAAGCACCAGCGGGTAGCCACCAGTCCCATAGACCTGGCACCCACATGGCCTAACTTCTTGTGAAACCAAGTGGCCATAGCGGTGAACCCTAGGGGCGCCACAAGCGAGCGTACTCACACCAAGGCATCAGCTGGGCACCTGCAATGGCTGATGGCCCGAGACGTGGTACACGGTGGCGCCCGTGCTCTGGCCTCGTCTCCAAATGTCCTCCCAGAGGTCCCTGCCCCAAAATGGGCAGTGGCCGATCAGCCACTCTTGGGATGCCCATTGGGGCAGCCACAGTGTCAGGCCTCGATACACGGCCTAGCTGTCAGTGCAAACATGTACTGGGACAGGTTTTTTAGTCAAAACCATCAAGACTGCCCTTAACTCAGCCCACTGGTACCTGTGGCATACCAAAATGTTTCAGTGAGGGGTTGAAGGGCTACAGCCATCCATGTGGGGGGCTGCCCTCGGCAAGACCCTTCCGTGTACCAGGCATCAGCTGGTACTAGAGGCTTTCCCTCCTCAAAAGGACTAGGAGTCTCCCCTGTTTCCACGAGGTCTTCTGCTCGCTTACAGCAGAAAGTGATGGGCCCCAAAAGAGCGTGCAGATCCTGGGTCAAAGGACTAGTGGAGAACTGAGCCCATTGTTCTAAATAGGCTCCCCACTTTGTCAATGTTGGTGTCTGCGCCACGCTGGTTCACGGCCTTGTGGCCCAGGACTGGAGCCAGCCTTCCACTGGGTAAGTCGTTTGCACCGTGACTGGGTGAGGGCCCGTGATGCTTTCACAGGCCAACTGGGTGGTGTACACTGCTGTCATCTGATTTTCTACTAGGGAGTATCATTCCTTGGCTCCCTTTCAGCTGAGCCCAAAACCCAATAGGAGTCTTTCACATGCCCTGCTTCTGCCAGAGACCCCAGAAAAACCCAGAGTCCTCTACCTGGACAGTCAGGAGGAACAGCAGGGTTGAGTCAACAACCCTTAGGGTCTGGGCCTGGGCTATGGCGCGTTTTGTCGCCCTGAACACCTGCTCGGCTTCAGTGGACCAATTCCAGTGTTCCCCCTTGTGAACCAATCGGTGCAAGGGTCGCATTAACATTGCCAAATGTGGTATGAAGGTTCGCCAGAACCCCAGTAGCCCCAGGTAAGTCTGTAACTGCTTCAACGTTTCTGGATGGGGATATACTTGAATCTCACCTATAACCGCCTTGGGGATTACTTTTGTCTTACCCAACCAAATAACACCCAAGAACCTGAAAGAGTAGCCAGGGCCATGGACCTTGTCCTCGTTGACAGCCCAGCCCCAAACCGTTAGGGCATCTTGGAGACTGCGGGCAGCAGTTTCCAAATCTGCAAGAGAATCAGAGGTTAACATTATGTCATCTATATAGTGAAACAAGCACATGGTCAGGGGCTTGGTCCATGTAGCTAATTCCTGTGCTACCAGTCCATGGCACAGGGTTGGGCTGTGCAGGTAGTCTTGTGGCAACACCTGAAAGGTCCATTGTCTGCCCTCCCAGGTGAATGCGAACTGTTCTTGGCTGGCAGTGTCAATGTCAATGGAGAAGAAGTCGTTAGCCAAGTCTACCACATAGTGGAACCGTCCTATGTCCTGCGGGAGGCGATCCATTAACTCTGTGATGTTTGGAACAGTGGCATGCAGAAGGGAGGTCACGTTGTTCAGCTCCCGGTAATCCACTGTCATTCTCCAGGAACCATCTGGTTTCCATATTGGCCAGACTAGGGAGTTGAAGGGGCTGTGGGTGGACCGTATGACACCTGCCTCCTCCAACTTCAAAATAGTACGCCCAATCTCCTCATGCCCCCGGGGCAAGCGATATTGTCTGATGTTAACCACTCGGGTGGCCTGTGGCAGGTGGGGTGGCGCATGCTGGGGATGTCCTCTAACCACCGTTTTCACTACACGCAACCACAGATGGAAGTCCCCCACAGACGTCATGACAGTCAGTCCCCTGAGCACATTCACCCTAACGACGTACTCAGCAATAGGAGACACATAGACCTCATAGGCCCTGGGGGGTGGAGACGTCCGATGCCCAGGGTGAGGGAGACTGTATGCACCGTGATGTGTCAGCCACCATACCCCTCAATAGTGGCTTTTGGGCCCTGAAAACGGTCCGGATTGCCATATATGAGGGTGCTGTCTGCCCCAGTGTCCACGAGGGTCAGCACCTGCTACATGTTCTGGGGGGACCAATATATGGTGAGTTCAACATGTGGCCTCAGGTCATCCAGCTCCTCTGCCAACCGGGTGCCCCAGCCCACTCCTTAGTCAGGGAGGAAGTCAGCTAGGGTAACTCCCTGGCTGTAGCTTCCGCCAGAGGGCCAGGAGGATTTCGAGGGGCTGGCTGTGTAATTTCTCCTTGGCCAGCCCAGCGGCTATCAGGTCAAACCACATTTGCGGGCGGCTTGCCTTAACAGGGTCCCCTCAAGGGCGAGGCTTTTGTAGCCTGTTTCTGGGAACGGGGACAGCTCGCACCCTTTTCAGCCACAGCCTGTGTCTGCATAGTCCAGCCTTGCTTACGGACTTCCACATCCCCCAGTGTAGCCAAAGCCCCTGTGACCTCATGGACAGGCTGGTCTGTATAGAGAGCTAACAAGGCAGCCATAGTCACAAAAGTTCCTGGCGGGCCGCTAGCAAGGATAAGGTCTTTCATGCGGGCTGTAAATATCTCTTCATCAGGACTGTTATACTGTAAAGCAAACATTATCTGCCGCATGCCCATCTCCCGTATGACTTGCACCACGTCCAAGTAGGTGGTCCACTTACTCACATGCTCCAGCAAGTTCCCTCCATTGTCCCAGACTGTGTGGGCAGCAGACATAAGCCAGTTAATCAGGGTCTGATTACAGGCTTGGGGGTTGGTCTGGGGCACGTTTTGCAAACATTGCTGCAATTCCATGGCCGTATAAGCGGTGTAAGAAACACGATGAACCGACTGTCATGGTCCTGCACCACAGCTCCACCCCCAGGAGCCAGCGGCTCCTTGACTTCCACCCTCTATCGCACCACCGGTCAGGCATGCCGCACTACCATTTTGGGGCCAGCTTTCCCCATCCTCTAATTTGTATTGTATTGCAGAAAAAGATGAGCCTTTTCTCGTTTAATGTCTGGGGGTCAAACTTGTTTCAGTTTTATAGAATGCAGCCACGAGGAGAATCCCAAGGGATGGAGTTCTGGTTACCTATCTACAAGAAAAGACAGAGTGGAAGGCAAGGCAGAAGGGCATCCCCTTTTCTATCCCACGTTTCTGAGATACCTACGGAGGCAAAGTGATCCCTGTCTCAGTGCATGGGGCAGGCCTGTTCCTGTCTACCTGAAGCTACAGAATTACATACACTTTACAGCATGCTTCTACCCCTGGAACCCCAATGGTTGGAGTTGGGATCCCTCTGTCTTTCTCCCCTCTTAGTTGTCTGGGGAGGCAGGACCCCGGTCTCATCCTTGCCCCTTTTCCCTTGTACCATCCCCGTCTGTCTGCCTGGCATAGCCAATTTTCAAAGTGGTGGTTACTCTGGACTTTGGTGTGGACTCTATATCTCTTTGCTAACCACCTTTTTTTATAGCCTTCCCATCTCCAATTATCTGCCCAGACCTTGAAGAGGATCCTATCTATTATAGCCCTAAAGGCCAATTCCTGGAAGGATTGCTCAAGTTGTTCACCACGAACCTTTAGAATAAATTAGAGAGACCTCTCCTTGCCATTAGTATCAGTCTTTGTCCAGTTTTAAGGCCAGATAAATCCGGAGTCTGAGGAGTCAGACTGGGCCCGGGTAGAAAAATAAGACAGGCAGTGGCGCAGAAAGCAGAGGCCAGAATCCAGTGGACTGGATCTGGGACAGAGATGCTGTTGCCAGTTCTAATCAAAGGGAGGCAGGCTCCAAATATTTGAAGCTGCACATACACAAGAGGAGGAGCAGCCAGCAGGGCAGAAAGCTCAAGAGAGCTGGAGACATAGATAGAGACTCCTGGACCCCCAGAGGCATCGAAAGAGTTTGCGGAAGTAGAGAGTGCTATTTTCGGAGTATTTAAGAAAGAAGATTCATCCCAGAGGGCAGGGGATGAGCCATAAGGACGCTAAGTGAGCACAAAGGTCCTCAAAACTGTCTCTATCGATCTGAAGCATGTTGCTAATTTTAAAGTGAAATTGAGTAAGCCTAATATTTTTGCTATGAGAAGCACTGAAGGATAATACTTGTTATTCATTTTATTAATCATCAAATTCTGTTATTAATGTAATAGAGCCAACACTTTGTTTAAAGTTTGAAGTTACTCAATATATCCATACCATTAGTTTATTGAATCCTTGTAACTCTAGGATATTCTGGTAGATTTAACTTTTGGGACAAGGATGTGAAAACAAACTATACATTTCAGAGAAATTTGATCAATGAAAATTGACTTTCTGCTTCAATCACAATGGAAACTTATCTGTATATGCTTTTGGTTATGACTGGTAAATGAAGCAATATTTTATAGTCCCTGTAATAAAGAGGTTGACTCCATTTCTTTTTTTTTCTTTTTTTTTTTTTTTTAGCTGAGCCATCCTGCTACCTGTTGGCAGCTCAGCGGCTGCTCAGCTCGGGCTGGACTCGAACCACTGTTGCTCAGAGCTCAAACTCTTGAGCGAGCTCTTAACCAACTGAGCCACTCGGCCGGCCCTCCATTTCTTGATCTTTGACTATTAACAACTTTCACCCCCCTCCTTCTCCTCTAACCCACATATAAATAAGTTGATAATTTCCCCTTCTGCCCAACATCTGGGCAAGATGATCAGAAGACCAAGGTGCTCCCTCCTTAGGCACTGTTGGCAAGTTCAAACCACATACAGGAACCCTCACCCTAGACCTGTCTCTTAGCCACCATCACCTTGTCCTACTTTCTGCAGTCATTTCTGTATCTGTCTGGGAGCTACCCTGCTGTACCCAGAAAGCCTCATTATGTAATGACACTTTTCATACTGTCTTAGTGTGTGTGTGTGTGTGTGTGTGTGTGTGTGTGTGTGTGTTTGTGTGATCATCAGTCTGGACATCTGACCCAAATTTTGGCTTATAGTGTATTCTGTCTTTGAGGGGTGGCCACAACAATTCCTTAAAGAAAATATTTTTTTCTGCACAATGGAGCCATGGGACTATTTCTTGTAGAATGAAGAGAAAGAGAGAGGGAATTAATTGTAAAGCATATCACTTAACAGAGCTGATCATCTAGGCTATCTTTGGAAATTTTAATGTTATATTTCAAGACTTTACAGTCTATATATACAACAAAATAATGACATTAATGGGCTTATATAAATCTTAAGAGTTTCTACCATTATTCTTGATATAACAGAAAAATCACACTACTTTAGCAGGAGGCTCAAATGAAAAAAGCACAACATTTGAGTCATTTCCTCTTGTTTCTTATCTAATTGGGATTTATACACCAAGGGAAGACTTCCACATAATTATTTGTTTTTCATACCAGACTAGTTTTACTCAGAAGAAATTATCTGTTTAGGAGAATTGAAGGATGACAGTGTACCCCTCCTCTAGGAGTATTTTTGTACTTGGTCACTGACTAACTGAGGGATGAATCATTAGCTCTGGACCAGTATTTCTCACCTAAGGTGCCTCAGAGAACATTAAGTTACTTCAACTGTGTTATCTCACTGAAATAAATCTTTGCTGGGGAATAAAAGCTAATGATATAGAATTCCTAATTTAACACACACACTGCTTAGGATCACTGTAGTTCAATCAGAGTGTGGAATTTGATGTAGTACAGAATGTAGTTCTAACATCTGGAGATCAGGTTACATGGTTTTACTCACAGCCATTTCTCCCTTTTCAACCTGGATCACAGAGTTCTGTATGCCTAATTTTCTTCTCTGGTGAATAAGTCAACCCCCTAAAATGAAATTAATACTAGCCAGGTCTACACATGCTTGAAAATCCTTCAAATCTCATTTTAGAGAGAGAGAAAATAATTTCTTATCTGAGAAAATGGAATTTTATACTTAAGGAGTCTGTTGCCACAGCTGCAGGTCCTCAGTTGGGTTGGTAATAATAAGACACACTAATTGCAAATAAATGCACTAACATAAAATGTGTTGAATATACTTTTAGGAAATAAACTTTAAAATTTAGAATAAATGATGAAAGGAATTCCTCAAGCTGAAGATAACAAGAGGAAAACTTGAAAATTCACAAATATGTGAAATTAAGCAACAAACTCCCGAACAAACAATGGATCAAAGATGAAATCAATAAGGAAATAAAAAAATATCTGAAACAACGATGAAAACACAATATACAAAAAACTTATGGGATGTAACAAAAACATGTCT